GCATATGCTGCCATCAGAATTTCGGCCTCAAGCGCTGTAAAATACATTGACCGCGCCTTCTTTCCCTCCGTCTCCATGGTGACTCGCTTAATCTGCGCTCCACTGATCAGGGCTTTATGTATCCTCGTGCGCGCGCTTCACTTGGGGTTAAAGCAACTCCGCGTTGATTGAACTACTTGTTATCAGCCTTTCTGAAACCGAATATTCCGAGTTGGACAGTTCGGGGTTACTCAACCCTGAGTATCGTTTTTCACTCTGAGTTTTCTAAACCGGCTAGGGGCCAGAGGGTGGCGTAGTTTGTGTTCTATGTTATTGATGTTTTGTGAGTTCCAGGTGGAGGCTGACCATTGGTGGAGCACTGGGAGAGGCTGGCTATAAATGAGGACCCTTCTGCCCCTGGCTGCTTCCTGCTCCCAATGAGCTGTGGCTGTGTGTGAGACTCTGTTCTCTGGAATGAGAAGCTTTTGCTGTGTTGTGAATAGTTTTGTTGTAAATAGTTGTAAATATTTTTACTCGGTAGCTGTAGGGCTGAGAAGCTATTTTCTCCTGTTTTTGGTTAGGGAGGCAGATAAGAGACCTGCATTTTCTTTTGGGTTTTCTCCGTGTAGGTAAGCCAGTTTCACTTCATTTCTAGAGAGTTTTGTTTGTTGTTTTGGCAATGCTCACCTTGACGCCCGCTACCTTTTGGAATTTAATAAACTGACTGGTTATGTAACTCTGTGGCAGTTTTTGGTTTGGTAGTGTAGCTGCAGTTTGCACATTTCATGTATTCTCAGCCAGATTTGGTTTAGAGCACAGCCAATATTTAGCATAAGTAGATTTAAATTTACACACACTGGTGATGGCAAACTACGTTGTAGCCACAGCCACCCTGGGGCGCACTGACAGAGGCGAGGCTGCCGGACACTGGCACCACCAGGCCCTCTGACCACCACCAGTAGGCAACGGGTGAAGTGTCTTGCCCAAGGACACAACGACCGAGACTGTCCAAGCTGGGGCTCAAACCGGCAACCTTCCGATTTCAAGGCGAACTCCCAACTCTTGAGCCACGATCGCCCAGTGTGTTGTGCACCGGTTTCCCCTGGGCTGGGGTGTAACAAAGTTCACAGGTTTTAAACAGTTAGAGCTCTGTAAATGGGCCCCGTACTTGGATACATTTTGCTAATCCTTTATTCTGATGGACAGATTAACAACCTAACTGGAAGTTTCTGATCTTTATGTTTAGTTGGCCTGATCCACACCAGACACGGGTTCAGTGTCCAGGCTCTCATATAACTACTGTTAATATTTTTGCATTTTATATTCACTTTCAGTGCTGTGTCCTGAAATCAAAGAGATGTTAATAGCTTTGCTCAAAATTCTAGTACTGCTGAAATGTAATGGGAAAATGTTGTTTGTAGTGTGTTTAACTATCCCTTTGATTAAAGATCTTGTATATACTGTAAATATTAACGACTTTTTGCATGTACCATTTTCTGTGGAGAAAATAAACCACAATGCATTAAATTGAAAAAAACAAACCAAAACAAAAAAAGCTGACTGACTCACCTTTCCTCCTACAGTGGCAGACTTGGCATGATGTTTGAACACATGTTCAGGGTCTTTATGATACGCCTTCAAGAAGGAGTTGGGGGTGATGTGTCTAGAAGCAACAGATTTGCATGATGTGACAAATCAATGTGTGCAACAACTTCTACAAAAGGTATACTGAATCAGTTTTGACACATGTGAAACGCATTATTAAATATTTAGCTTAAGTTGTGGTATGCTGAAATCACTGAGTAGTAATTAAATGGATCAGACATGTTGTTTGGTCAAAACAGGTCTCATGGCTGTGCAGCGTGTACTTTAAAATAAAGGGGTGGTCTAAATTTTGTTTGTGAGAACAGTTTTATTTAGTTTATCATTGTGATGTTCAGCATGCAATTGTTAACATTTTGCTGTCTATTTCAATTCAGTTACTGTTGATATATGAGGCAAATTGATTTCCTTTTGCTGCCTAAACCTAAAACGCTGAGAAGTCGTTTTGTAGAAGGTGGGGGGCTCTGTAACTGAAAGGAGATGATATTGAGAGTGCCATTATCTCTAGGTACAGCAGGGGATGGAGGATACAAACCATTTAGAGCATGACATGAAGTGTATGCTTTTTTGAATGATGAAGCCTTTTAACCTCAGGGTTCTTAATCCTTTTGAATTTGACAATAAGTAAAAAGTGTAGCTGCCAGACTGAGTATGTAAGGTTTAGTGCTAAAAACAAGCTTAAGGAAAACTAGGTATCAATTAAAGATGGCAAAAGTGAAAAAAATGTTTCCTTTACAATTGACACCAAAATATTTTCAAATTTTTTCATCTTTAGTAAATGTAAGAGCAATATAACAAAACACAATGACAGATAATCTGAATTTGTTAATGAGTAAAAAGGACAGAGGGGATTGTGATTTGTTTATAAACAGTTGTGCTGGTAAGTTTACATACCGTGGCAGAATTTGTAATTTTTGGGCCATTTTCCAGAGAATATGATTGATAATACAAAACCTTTATTTCAATCATGATTAGTGGTTGGGAGAAACCATTTATTATCAAACATACCCTTTTTAAATCATAATGACAACAGAAACTACCAAAATGACCATGATCAATGTTTTTTATACCATGAAAGTTTTAATAATAACGGTGACCAGTCCGTGATCTGTTTCCTTGTAATTAGTTTGTGTGTATAAAACGTCAGTGAGTTTCTGGGCTCCTGACAAACCCCCAGTGCTGCACTGATGTTGGATTCTGAGCTACAGGGAAAGCAAAAGAATGATCAAAGGATCTGTGGGAGACGATAGTTGAACTTTATGAAACAGGAAAAATGATATCCAGGCAATTGACAGCATCAATCAGCAGTGTTCAAACAAAGAAGTGGAAAAATTCTTTTGTAATGGAAACAAACATTTAAGCCAAAACTGCCACAAAACTTGTTCGGGATGCAAGAAAAAACCCCACAAATAACTTCAGTTGACATACGGGACTCTCCGGGGAAAAAAAGTGGATTTCAAGATACATAATAGGAAGCACTTAAAGAAAAATGGACTGTGTGACATGAATGATGGACCACATAGTTGCAGTTTCGACACTTCATTATTTGGTTGCTCTTTTCTCTAACACTCGGCCGCAGCTTTTCAGCTGCTAGCAACACACAAAACAGCAACGCATGTCCTAGTACATTCTTTAATAGGGGAGACATAATTGGCTGATGGAGCTCCAGTGTGTCTCAGCCTCCCTGCAAGCCACACCCCGCCACATACTCCCATCGCCCAACCTAGCCCGGGGAGCCGTCTGGCCTAGCCTATTCCATCCCTCTGCGGACGGTAAGTGGGGACTGGCCATGACCATCTGTGTCCCGGCCCATAGACCAGCAGCAAGGATGAGTCGGATCAGGGGGCCGACCGTGTACCCAGATCCTCCTTTTACAGAAATAACAGCCTCTAAATGCTTCCTATGGCTTCCAATGAGAGTCTGGATTCTGGTTGAAGGTATTTTGGACCATTCTTCTTTACAAAACATCTCCAGTTCAGTCAGGTTTGATGGTTTCCAAGCATGGACAGCCGCTTTAAGTCACACCATAAATTTTCAATAATATTCAGGTGTTGGGACTGAGATGGCCATTTCAGAATGTTGTACTTGTTCCTCTGCATGAATGCCTTAGTAGAGTTTGAGCAGTGTTGAGGTTCATTATCTTGTTGAAAAATCCGGGCCTGGCGCAACTTCAACTTCACTGATTGTGTGAATGTGGTGAGGCATTGTGTTCCTGTTTCTCTTTAAACTTTATTCTTCTACCTTATTCTAGTTGCTCCGTTTCTTTGCCGCTTAACTACTCCCTCAGTTTTCAGCCGATTGCCACCATTCAAATATTTAAACTGTTCTGTTATTTCTGCTAATGCCAGCTATGTCCTTTGGTGCTCACAACTTTTCTACTTTTTGAGATATTAAGCTTTTTATGCCACTTTTTGGCCCATTTGATGAAAGAGACCACATTTTCAGTGTGATCACCAGTTAGCTTGCTGGGCTGAGCTATGTTTTAGCTCAGTGAGATAAGCAGCCGTTTTCAGAGCGGGAGGCCAGGGTTAGAATCCCGCTTATGGCAACATTTTTTTCATTAAACAGTTTAAGTTTTTTAACTCTTTTCAACACAAATTCTACCTTCTTCACCCCTTTTCAGCTGTTTTCAGTTCCTTCGCCTCTTTTTAGCACAATTTTCAGTTTCTTCATCTCTTTTTTCAGAACATTCAGCTTCTTCACCTCTTTTCAGCACAAATTTCATTTTCTTCACTTCTTTTCAGCACAATTCAGCTTCTTCTGCGCAGTGCACATTTTTTCTCTCATCATATCTTTGTTTTGGGACTGGAACTGGTTTGGCTCAGTGGGATGAGCAGCTGCCGAGAGACCCAGTGATGAAGGTTCGAATCCTGCCTGTGGCGGTTGCCGCACATCTTCCCTGCTTGCATGCACACTGCTTTCTTGACACTCTGCAGTGTACCCTTTCAAATATAGCCATCTTCAGCAAGCAGTTCAGCTTCTACACATCTGTTCAGCAGATAATTCTGCTTCTTCAGCTTTTATCAGCAGATTCCACTACACGGCATTCACACTGCATTTTTGCAGGAAATGCAACTTTTTCTAATTCTTGATTCTGTCACTGATCTTCTGCATCACTTTCCCATACAGCATTTCCTTGTGCAAAGTGCGCTGAATAGTTGAACGATGCACAGTGACACTATCTGCAGCAAGATGATGTTGTAGGTCTTTGGAGCTGGTTGGTGGCTTGACTATGACCATTCTCACCATCCCTCGCCTCTGCTTATCTAAGATTTTTCTTGACTTGCCACTTCGGGTCTTAACTTGAACTGTACCTGTGGTCTTCAACATCCTCACTATGTTCCTCACAGTGGAAACTGACAGCTGAAATCTCTGAGATAGCTTTTTGTATCCTTCCCCTGAACCATGATGTTGAACAATCTTTGTTTTCAGGTCATTTGAGAGTTGTTTTGAAGCTCCCATGTTGCCACTCTTCAGAGAAGATTGCAAAGAGGAGAAAAACGTGTAATTCAGTACAAAAGAAATTTCAGCTCTCACAAACTATTCCAAATTGCAAAACGCTTACCTATGTCTCTAACAAAACCACTCTTTGTAAAAATAGGAAAGATTTCTGTTTTTCACTATCTACTATAGAATTGATTTGTTTTTTAAACAAACTAACTCCAAAGAGTCTAACAGACACATTTCTCACTTTATCATATAAAAAAAAACCCCAGTTAAATATGTAATGTTTTTTACACTGACAGAAAGGGGAGTGTCACTGGTGCTGCCTGCTTAAGATCAAAGTGGGCTGCATGTGTACATGATGTAAAATTAGTTTAACACCCCTGATTGTTTGTGTTGTGATTATAAATTTTTATATAGATGGTTTCACCCAACCCCTAACCACGAGCGAGTAAAAAGTTTTTCCATTAGCATTCATATTCTCTAAAAGAAAAAAATGGCCCAAAAAAGTCACAAATTCTGACAGGGTATGTAAACTTATGAGCACAACTATGTAATTGTGTATATCATTCTCTTTACCACCCTCACCTAATATCCTCCAGGTCATAGTAAACATTGCGGGTGGTATCTTTGATGTAGATGGCCATGTTTGGAGACTGCAGCATCTTCATGGTGAGCTGTTGAGGGAAAGCGGTAACAAACAAAGCCCGAAGAGCATCCTGATTGCTGATTTCTGTGGGCACCCAGACTTGCTTTGTTTCCTCCCCATACTGCAGGAACAGCACACCTGACACAACACAAACAGGCAGGAAGAGGGGCCATCAGTCTGTGTCAGAACCGTACAAAGAAACATCTTCAAATCTTAATACGCAAACTGATGAGTGGCAGCTAAAATAAATATTTTTGATGTTTATTTTAATATATTTAGCCATATACAACATAAGAATGCTAATCCACAACAAAATCTTTAAATTAAATAGGGTACAGGTGCTTGCTTCTCAATGGCTTATGAAGCAGACAGCTTATAAACTAAACCTTCAAGCTCCAACACAAGAGCTTGCAGGTGAAGTGTGAAGTATGAATAGATTCATGTTGAGAGATTATTTAAATCCCAGTGATTCACGAGCTATCCTATGCACTCAATTTGTCTCATATGCATACTGTCATGGTCCACATGACCCAGCGTTTTGTGTTTCATTTTGGTATCATCTTATGTTTTGTATTCATTCTTAGGGTTTGGTTCTTGTGTTTAGTGTTTTAGTGTGCTCCCTCCTGTGCTCTGTTCGTGTCCCTGAGTTAGTGTTGTAGAACAGTTTGTGAATTTCCTGTTTTACTTTGAAGGTCTGTGTCTCGTTGTGTCTATTAGGTTCAGCTGTGTTCCCCTCTGGTGTGTCATTCCCTAATTACCTTGTGTGTTTTTACAGTGTGTGCCTGCCTGTGATCCTTGTCGGTTCGTCTGTGTTATTCATTGTTTCTCCGCGTCTCTCTGCCCTGCTTCCTCCGTGTCATCTCCGTGTATCATCCTGTGTCCTTATGTTTTCAGGGTTGTTTATTAGTTTTTCCCAGTCTAGGCTTTAGTAGCTCCCTGTTCCTTATTTCCTGTTTTTGTACTTCGCCGTCACTGTAAATAAACACACACTCGCACCCCAGCCAGTTCGTGCATTTTGGGTCCTTTTCTCGTAACACCATACGACTGCTGCCCCAGCCGTGACACATACTTAGTTACGTCTGATTGTAATCAGCAATTAACCTGATATGTAACATACAGTTTTCAAACAGGGAGAAACATCAAAGTATCAGGAACATAGATAACATGCAAACTCCACAAAACCTGAGGAAGGTTCAGACCTACAGGCCTTTTAGCTGTGAGATGACTGAGCTAACCACTGCAACACTGTCTATCTAACAGAACTGCTACTAGGAGAAACCTCAGCAGTCAAATTAGCTGCCAGGATTAATGTTAATTCAGTTGGTAACTTGATAAAATGAAACTGGGATTTCTGCAGCTACAACTCTAATGCTTCCAACTGTGTAATGCTTGACACGCTTGATTAGCAAGCAAAAGGTTGCTGGTTTGATTCCAGTGGGGGACACAAATGCCTTTATTTGTGTTAGGAAGAAAATCGGATGTAAAGTTCTTCACCCTTGTTCAGAACTGTAGTATCAAACTTGTTCTTGAAAAGCAGTACACTCTTTTACCCACTCTACAACACTGTGTTAAACAGTCTGGTTAAAGAATTAATACATATCCTGACTTCCACAGGTATATCATCTGAAACATCTGCCTTTCCATTTTTCATCCTCTTCATAGCTGCCCTCACTTCCCACTTACTAATCCTCTCCACTTCCTGATTTATTCATTTCTCCCTAGTGCAATAGCAGCATGAAACCCTGTGTGAGGGGGAAGGGGCGGAGCATGGACAGCGAGGTTAGGAGTCTCACGGTTTTCTGACCGTGTGCACAGGTAGTTCTGGATAACTGCTTATTTTTTGGAACTTTCATGCTTATTTAGGAAGGAGTTCATTGTTACATCTTCAGTTTGTAATACATAAACAGTCTTCAAATCATAATGCAACTGGAAGCATTTCTTTTGGAAACCAGGAACACAAGACTCCTTTTTTTAACTTTGTTTATTGGAAATTACCCTACATAGAGTTTCAAAAGTTCTGTTAAGTAACGTGGCGCCAAACCATTGAGACTCTTAAAAACAAGTACCGGTAATAACATTTTAAACTGGATACGGAAACGGACTTGAAGCCAGTGTTAGGATGCCAGTATAGGTGTAATGTGATCATACCTTTTCTTTCCTGTCAAAAGGCAAACATCTGCATTTTGAACACTGAAGTAAGAACTGATCAGAGCCAACATATAAAGAGTTACAGTAATTAAGATGACAGGTAATAAAAGCGAGGCAGGCCTTCACCTTACTGAGGAGCCTTAGTTAAAAGAAACTTGTCTTAACAGCTGAGCTGATCTGTTTATCAAATTTTAAAGCACTGTTGAAAGTCACACCAAGGTGCCTTGCAACCAGATGACAGTAAGACACTAAAGGACCAATAGCGCTGTCATACCCATGTAACAGATTGGGTTGCCCAAAAGTTTATTTCCTCACGACTGTACATCTCTGGGACAGTTCACTAGTGCCTGGTTAGAAATATGGCTGTTGGTTTGTATACGCAAATACAAATGTATTTGAACACAGTGTCCAAATACATTTGGACACTGTGTTCAAATGTATTTGGACATTGACACAAGTTTTGTTTTTTTTCTGTTTACTGAAACATATTCCAATTATAGTTATATAATGGGCATGGATATGTTTACACTCTCAGCTTTCATTTAAGTCTACACTCAAATTGGATGAAGAGTTTAGGAGTTTCAGCTCCTTAACATGTTCCACCCTCTTTTTAAAGGGACCAAAGTACAGTGGCCCCTCATTTATCGCGGGAGTTACATTCTAAAAGTAACCTGCGATAGGTGAAATCCGCGAACTAGTCAGCTTTATTTTTAACAATTATTATAGATGTTTTAAGGGTTTAAAACCCCTCACTACATACTTCTCAGACAAGCATGAACATTTTCTCTCTAGTTTAAACAGCCTCAAAGTTCAAACCTTCGTAGAAAAATAAGTCCAGTATTATAGAATGAAACCAAACATCAAACCCTGTTTTCAGGTCCAAAACATGGGAATATAGCAACCATTGATTGACAATGGTCTATAGCCAATCAGGACGCAGAACACAATGCGCTGTAAAAAAAAAGAAAAAAAAAGAAAGAAAACAAGAAAGAAAAAAGAAAAAAGGAATGCAAAATTTTAGGAAACTAATTTTGCAAGGCCGCAAAAGGTGAACTGCGTTACAGTGAGGGACCAATTGGAAAATTTACTTAAAGGCTATTTCATGGGCAGGTGTTGGCAATCCCTTCATTATGACATTATCAAATTATCAACTGAAAGCTGCTGCAGTAGAGGCCTGGGAGAGTCAGGAGGACATCTAGTGATGTCCATGAGTTCAAGACTTAAGGCTGTCATTGCCAGCAAAGGATTTTCAACCAAGTATTAGAAATGAACATTTTATTTTCAGTTATTTAATTGTCCAATTACATTTGAGCCCTTGAAATGAAGGGACTGTGTTAAAAATACTTTAGTTCCTCACATTTTTATGACATCTTTTTCAACCCACAGAATAAAAGCTAAAGTCTGCACATCAAGTCTGAGTTGTTTCATTTAAAGTTTATTGTGGTAATGTACAGAGCCATGCACACCACTGCATCCTTATGCTGTGGTGTTCCTCAAGGCTCTGTGCTTGGCCCAATGTTATTCTCATTATACATGCCCCTCTAGACTTAATCTTTGAAAAATATAACATTTGCTCCACCGTTGCACTGCTTTCTCAAGTGCATGAGAGAAGTCAGAAAATTGCTTTTGGGCAATTCCCTTATCCTGAATGAAAAGAAAACGGCAATTGCAGTGTTTGGCAACCATACCCCATGGGACATATTAACTGATACCTTTGGTTCCTTTGCCACTTCTCTCTCTGACTCGGTTACTGACCTGGGTGTCCTGCTGGATAGCTCTTTTAAATTTAACAAACAAGTGTCCTCAGTAATCAAATCTAGCTTTAACCAACTGCGCCTTATTGCTAAGGCTAAGCACTATGTCCCTCATAAAGATCTTTAAAAAACTCATTCATGCTTTTGTGACATCTAGATTGGATTATTGTAATTCTCTCTACTTTGGTCTTCACTCTGCTCTCCTTCACAGACTTCAGCTTGTCCAGAATGCTGCGGCTCGCCTCCTGACTGGTACTAGAAAGCATGCCTCTGTCACCCCTGTTCTTGCTGATTTGTATTGGTTACCCATAAAATATCATATTGAATTTAAAATATTGTTGCTCACCTTTAAAATTATAAATAATTTAGCCCCTAGCTATCTGGTCGATCTCCATAGTCCACATGTCCCTGGGCGAGCCCTCAGGTCTTCAGCCCAATTACTCCTGGCTCAGCCTAGATCTAGACTTAAATCTAGGGGAGACCGTGCTTTTGCCCTGGTTGCACCTAACCTGTGGAACGACCTTCCCATTGCTATCCGTGCGTCAGACTCCATTTTATCTTTTAAATCCAGTTTAAAAACTCACTTATTTAACCTAGCTTTTCCATCTAGTTAGTGTCCCTATTTTATATTTGGCTCAATTTTTTTATCTATATACTTTATCTTTTAGCAATATCTGCTCTTGGTAACTTTATTCCTGTATAATTAGTGCACTCAACCTGCTGACATTTGTGGTACTTTGTTAATCGTCTTTTATTTAACCATGTCTTTATTTTCCTGTGTCTATTGTAAAGCACTTTGGTGTACCGCTGGTTTTTTAAATGTGCTATATAAATAAAGTTGTACTGTATTGTATAAAATCAGAATATTTTTGGTCCTAACTGTATATCTGGAGGTCATCTGCAAAGCAATGAAAGGACATTATGCTTTTTATAAATGGACCCCACGGGGAAGCAAATATAAAGAGAAAAGAATGGGCCCCAGTAGAAAACCCTGAGGTACTCCACAGTAGAGCAGGGCGATATGGCCAAAAATATTTATGCGATAATGATATAATTGATGTGAGACAAAATACAAAATGCAACTCCACAACTTTACTAGCGCAAAAAACCCATCCATTTATTTTCTATGCTGTTTTTTTAATGTGTGTGTGTGTGTGTGTGTGTGTGTGTGTGTGTGTGTGTGTGTGTGTGTGTGTGTGTGTGTTTATTGTATCATTATGTCTTCTAAAAGTAAATGTTTTAAAGAGAGATGGAAGTGATCTGGGAATATGGTATTTTATCATAAATTGGATCCTGACAGCATTTTCATGACTAGGGATGGGTATCGTTTAGGTTTTATCTGATACCGGTGCCAAATCGGTACTTTTGAAATGGTGCCGGTGCTCAAACGGTGCTCAAACCGGTGCTTAAAGAATGGAGAACACAAAATTGGTCCAAAAACCTCTCATGTTCAGCTGTTTTTTTTGTAAAAAGATAACAATGTTAGCCTTTTCTGCAGCTATGGGGCATATATGGTATCACTCTTGGCTGGAAGCAGTGCTTAAACAATGGAAAAAACACAAACTTTGTCCTAAACCTCTCATGTTTAACTGTTTTCCACTTTTTCTTTGGTCATTTTAGCCTTTTTAGCCAGGGTGAAGGGAGTATCTGCCATCAAACAAGAGGACAGCCGCATGTAGCTATGATGATGTTTGCTAGTTCACCTTACATGCATTAATGTAATAACGTGGTTAGCCTACTCAATGTAAATTAGCTACTCACGCAGAGAAGAACGGCTGCTGCATCATCATCCGTCATCATTTCTGCTACACTGGCAGGGCTAGGGGCCAGGACTCTCCTCTTCGTGTTTTTGGGGGATGTTGCATAACAGGCAACCCACCCGCAGTAGATGTGCTCGGTGTGAGGTCTCGCAGCAAGCTATCAAATACAGCGCATTTCTGGGCTTTTAAAAAAAACGCTATGCGTCGCCAGCTGTTTAATCGGATTCTTGGTGTTACCTCCTTTGACAGTATCACAGTATCACCTTAAAGCACTTGTTGCAGGCTGCTGAGTTTGCATATTTTGTTGTGAAGTACAGCCAGACTTTTGACCGCTTCGCCTTGGGCATTTTTAATCTGTAGCTCTGCTCTAACAGAACGTACGTACCTGGCCCCGCCTACTACTCGGAAACTTAAAATGATTGGCTAGAAGTGTATCACAGCTCAGGAAAAAAAAGCACCGAAATAAAGCACTGAAATGTGCGCTGCTTTTCGGTCTGGTTACTACCGTTTATGTCAGAACCGGTGCCATCATGGCACCGGACACCGGTACCCATCCCTATTCATGACCATATTTTCCATACAGCTTCTGCAGGATATTCATATGTGTTGTCCAAATCAGTTAAGAAGTAAACTATTTCATACAGTGTTATTGAACAGATTTATTTAGATGTGTCTACATACCTAACGGCCAACCTCTTGTCTGACCACTTGAGCGGCCTACAGGTAGACTTGCTCTAGCCTTAGAGCCCCTTGTAAAGGCAGCAGATAGGGGTATCATCTCTCCACCAGACATGCTACTTGAAACCAGCCTGTTCTGCTCTTTCACCAAGTGTGGGACACCAGCACCTTGGGGACTGTCAACAAACCAGGGACTCCTTACCTGGATTGAAAGAAAAAGCAAAAAGATTATGATTATGGGAGAGAGGAGAAAATGGTAAAAAAAATTATTAAAAGTGCTTCTACTACTAATCAAATCTTATGTTAAGGGACATATATATCCATATATATTAGGGCTGTCAAAATTAACACGTTAACGCAGCTTAATCCATCATCATGACTAATCTGATTAAATTTTTTTACGCAATTAACCATCTGCAGAACACCCACAGAATAACTCAAAATCCTTGAAATGTCCCTGTCAACGCATTTTGGGGAGTTTGTTCCAGTAAGTTATCTTGGCACATGCGCAAATGGGCAGTTGATCTGGTAGTAACGGCCAGCAGAACCAGTCAACTCAATACGGAAGATGATAAACAGCACATTAGCTCGTTTGATAGAAATTTTTAATTAAAAAAACAAGATGGAACAGTTGACCGACATAAAGTACTATGCACATTGTGCAGGAAGGAATTTTTCTTTTTCCGAAGCACTTCCAGGGTAAAAATATCACACAAAGCATATGCTACTCGGGGATGCTGCTAGCACTTTGGCTAACGTGTCGCCCAGCTTGTGGCAAACCACTCTCACTGAGCTTTGGGGCCTCAGTAAGTCTACCTCAGACAAATTGACAGACACAACTGGCAAGTAGATTGCAACAAACTGCAAAACTATTAATATCGTCGAGGACACAGCCCTTACAAAGGTTTTGCAAGTTGCCTTTCGAGATGCATTGTACAAGGCTCCAACAACAAGCACAATGATGTCAAAAATTAATGGGCTCTATGACACTGGAAAGGAAAAAAACAAGAGAATTTAGCTGCAGCCAAACATGTCACCCTGTCAGGTGACTACTGGACAGTAACAGTAACTATCTTGACATTACTGCACAACTAATTACTGCGCATAGGAATTAAAGTCGCTTGCATTGAGAATAATGAAGACAGAGGAGCGTCACTTCGCAGAGGCATGTGTTGAACATTTCTTAACAATGGCATGTGAGTGGGAAATTGAAGGAAAAATCACAACTGTAGGGATTGATTGTCCACGAAACACAAATGCTGCAGCTAAACCTTTGCCATTTGAGCATATGCCTTGTTGCATCACTGTGAGTGTTGGTGACAGTGGATTTGTCCAGGTTTCAGAAAATTGTTGGTCAATTCAAACATATTCCAACCTGGAAACACGACAAACAACCCTGGGGGAGCAGAAGGAGCCATTGATCCAGCAGAGCCACAAACTTGTGATGCTGATGCCACAAGAAAGAAATACATTTTTTTTTAATTAATTGATTAAAGAAAACCCATTTCTTGTTTTAATAACCATTTTGTTCGTCTTCCATCTCTTCCTCTGTCTGTGTGTTTTCACTACAGGTATGTAACTGAGATTCTGGGTAGGGAATCCTATATTTCCTGCTCAGTGGTACTGCCTGCCTTCTCCCACTTGCATCATGTGATGGAAACCTCTAATGATGACTCTGCATATGTAACTAGGTTTAAAACAGCATTCCAAGAACACCTAACCTCCCACCAAGAAAACTTTATCAACAATGAATGTCTCAAGATTGCCCCAGCTTTGGAAGTGCCTCCCCAAGAGTGACAGAGAGAGGGTGTGGCCCACACTTGGAAGACTGCTGCATGATCAATCCCCACCTCAGACTTGTGAAGATAAGCCACCCAAGAAAATGAGTCTATTACAGATGAATCAGATGAGGAGTTTCTGCCTGACAGAATCATGCACTTGATTCTGTAGCTCATTCAGGAGCTGGTGACAAGCTGGCACTGCTGGCTTGCAAATATCTGGCCACTCCTGCAACCACTGTTCTGTGCGAGAGACTGTTCTCAGTTGCAGGCAACACTGTAAATAAGAAGCGGTCAGCTCTCCTCTCGGACAATGTCAACAAGTTAGTTTGTCTCAGTAACAGGGCCCCATTAATGTGGATAAATGTTTACAGAAAGTTTTTTGTAAACATGAATGTTAAGATGTTCAATAAACATGTTCTGTAGGGCTGTTCGATATAACGATCTACAGGGTGGGCCTTTATATGGATACACTGTAACAACATGGGAATGGTTGGTGATATTAAAGTCCTGTTTGTGACACATTAGTATATGTGAGGGGGCAAACTCCTCAAGATGGGTGGTGACCATGGTGGCCATTTAGAAGTCGGCCATCTTGGATACAACTTTTGTTTTTTCAATAGGAAGAGGGCCATGTGACACATTAAACTTATTGGTTCACAAGAAAAACGATGGTGTGCTTGGTTTCAACGTAACTTTATTCTTTACCGTCGTTGTTGCTAACCACAACGCATAAAAACAGGCGCTTGTCCGTCCGTAGTGTGGTTATATTAAATATAAGAGAAAGAGAGAAGTTTAAGAAATGAATATAGTGACATCAAAACCATGAAACAATATTGCCGTAAAGAGTTTATTTTGCGACACCACGAAACAAACAACAGCGTAAAATGAAACGATAGACGCTTTTATATCGTCATCCGATATATATCGTTATATCGAACAGCCCTACTCCAGAGTTCACTTTTTAATTTACTCGATTACTTCTCCACACTCTGGACTCTTTGCTCAGTTCAGCTATGGTTCCCCTGTTGCTCTGTATGGACAGCAACCCATGCATTTCTCCATGTAATCTGCTCTGTCATGGCTCAATATTCCACCTGAGATCTGCTCAGCTTGCAGTACTTATTCATCTTTTATCTAGCTACAGTCCATTAGCTGCTACATTCACAATAATGGTGTGATGTTGTCTGGGCGGGCCTTCCCCACACCGGACCTACATGAAGACCGAAAACAAAGAAACAATGTGTGTATGCACAATTAAGTTAATTCATAACTTAATGAATTAACAACATAATGAAACTTAAAGTAACATGTGACTGAATATTTGCTTTAATTTGCTGAATGTTTGATTTTGCTGGCAACATAGTGTTTACACAAAGAAACCTGGGATAGTCAGTGCAGCAATGTTATTCTGACAATAGCAAATCATAGTAAATAAATATATGGAGAGAATAATGTGCTTAATGTGCAAAAAGTCAATACTTCTGGGACAAGTTGAAAGTTTTACGACTGCTCATCCACTTTGTCACACAGGGCACCAGAACCATTGTCTCCTGTGGGCTGCAAGCTGGGGGCCTCTATGGATTGTGTGTTAGTTTATCCAGTAATTGCCAGATGACATTGGAATCTGGGAGTTTAGAGGCTGGGTCAGCTCAATGCCTCTCCTTTGTGTGCCACTAGCTGTTTCTGGGCAGGGTTTTTGGTGCACTGTGTCAAAGCAATCTGGGAAGCCATAGTTTACTCTACTGACTTATCTTAGGAGACAATAGCGATTATGTGGCAGTACGCAATGTATTTTCAGTTGAAAACATTGGAAGCCAACACTATCATGCTGCAGGTACTGGGAGTCTCCCTACAGCCTAGAAGCTAGCCTCTGGTACCTTCTCAGTGTCACCTGGACACAGGTCCCGGTTCCCCTCCAAAGCAGCACAAAGTCATAACACAAAAGAGAAAAAAATATCAAAATTGACAAAGGCAGACCACATAAAACTACATTGTTGGCTGCATACAGTTGTTATCTTATGTTAACCCACAATCGTCGGACTTCTTTCATCTACGTGAAATTCTCAGAGAGTGAGAAGAGGCTGCAGATCAGACTCAAACCCTGAATGCATCTCTTAAAAATATGATGAGGGGGGGGCAATGTTATTTTTGTATGACTGTGTTATGAATGACTATTCTATTTTAATAATCGGATGACTGCTCAAGATAGGAGATTAAAATTTTAGGGTCCACGAGAGAGAAAAGCACACCAGGACATCAGAGGAGACAGAATAAGAAATACATAAAACATCATTAAAAAGTCTTGTAAGGCAAGATTCCCTTTTGTGATGTAATTTAATGCTATTTTAGCATGTTTAAATAATTTGGGACTGAACCTTTCCACAGAAAAGTGTTTATAATTATTAAAATTCAATAGAATAAAACTTATAATAAAATTCAATGCAAACAAAAGAGTAGTCTAGAAGGAAGGACATAATCAAGGTTTAACCATCAGTCTGTCTCTCTGACATTACAGGAAACAACCTGCATTCCAGCTGCATCATCAGCAGGGCACACAGCCAAAGACATAAATCACACAAAAACACACAAAGATAATAATTCAATATGACCAATAAGAGCTTGTGGCTTTGTGTTTTAAAATTTGAAGTAAAAAATGGCGGATATAATTGCTATGAGACTGTTAATATTCCAAAGTTGTGATATTTCGATAGCGAATAATTACACAATTGTTTGTTTGTGAATGGTATATTAGTTTGTGCAGAGTCTCTAATGCCCATAGGTGTAAATTTGAAGAGGGACACATTTAAAACACACCGCAGCTTCAAAAAGTCTGAAAATAAAGTAGGTTGAGAGGACAGTAATGTCTTACTGCCCCTGTGCCCCCCACTTATTGGAACAGAAAATAAAAATCTCCCCATACAGCTAACAGCACACTGCAATAATCATAATCCCGGCTCACTGCTTCAGCAGGCTGTTATGGCTATTATGACTCATCTGAGCGCAAACAGACATCCCTGTTGTCATTACAGATCAAACTTGTGAGGAATGCTCACCATTCCTGCGCAAATGTGTCATTTTTCTTAATGCCTGCGTGTGGAAAATAGATATTAGGAAACAGCGTCTTCAGTTCTTTTAGTTCTTTCACCTGGTGGACTCTTCGCCTACAACAGCAGTGCTGGGTCAGAACGGTGATTCCACCCGTTAAATGATGGTACCTTTCTGTTTGTGTTGGCTCTCGTCACATGCTGACGTAACAAACAGTGACAGACATCTGGCGCAGACGCTGAATAGCCCGCATAATGACGCGCTGATGGAGCAGCTTGTTGAGCCGGCTCCAAACACTCAGGAGCTTGTGTATCGCAAGTTGAAGGCTAATGTAAAGTTCATATCCTGCTAATCGCTTTGGCTACTTTTACACTAAGTTGTCTTTTAAGTAGTAGAAAAAGAGCGGCTCAGAGGAGCTGTTGGTCTTTACAGATAAATTAGAGGAACTTACCTGGCGGAGATGCTTGGTGTCAGCAGTGCGGTTTTAGAGTTTTAGCACTTCCCAGGTAACTTAGCTCTAAGGGTCCAAATCAAGTCCTGCGGTTTCACGGCAGGTTTAAGGTTCTTTCCTCGGACTTTTGAGACGTCGCAGTTTCTACATGCCGCATGTTTCTCTGCTTGGATCAGGTGCACTGACAAACTCCACCCCTTTCCACCCGTTGCTGTTTCAACACAACTCCACCTTAGCAAATAATGCTGGCTGTACCGGTCTAACTGGGAGATCAGTAGTACTACTCGTGAAATTTATGACAAGCCACAAGACACCTCATGCCCCTCCAGCATTACCACTATAACAACACACATACATCGTTTTAGAAAAGAAAATGCAAAACAGTAACTGATAAATGTCTGTCAGCAACTCATTGAAATCACAATGTGAAAAACATGTTGATAAAGCTTAGAAGATCATTAAAATGAAAACAGGTTGTTGCTGGCCTTAAAATGAATTTAAAAAAGTCATAAATTCGCTCCACATTTCATTTTTCAAACACTGCTAATGATGAACAAATCTTACCTGCTCGTTTGTGCAGTCCTGATGTCCTATGATAATGGTTTTATGTTGAGGATATTTTTGCCTCACATGGTCCAGGACGTCTTTCTTCCTCTCCACATGTGTGTGCTGCATTATGAGGCTGTCCATCTGGCTGTGTCTGCTGCTGCTGTTATTGGTGGGGTAGCTTCGAGGTAAGGTATTGGGAGAGCATCGATATGGACTGTAGGAGAAGTCAGGGTTAGACAACAGGCTTCTGGAGGTGTGTTCTTTCTTCTGTAGCAGACAGTCTATGCTGTTGTCCCCCACAGCAGAGGCAGAAGAGGCTCTCGAAGGGGAGATACTTGGATCTAAGTTGGAAGGATGAGAGGAAAAAGGAGTGATGGTAGAAGGAAGTGCAGAGAGAACGAAGATTTACAGGAGAAAAAAACTTATATAACAGGATGACTTTTTTCAGCTTAAATTTATTTAGTTGTGAAGAAATATGTAAAAGAAAGTATGCTGTGCTACGAAAGATTTGCCTCCAATTAAAAATGCTTGTAACCCAATGTCCACATTTGTAGACAGTTATTTAACTAAGTTTGTATTTCTTTTATCATGACAGAGTTCTCAACTTTGAATTTTCAGTGTATCAGAGTTGATCGCTACCATTCTCAATCTAACGCTCTTCTGTAGATTCTTGCGTGGTGGTGTCTCTGTGGTCTTTTTATGTCTTTCCTCAAATCTCTGTTGTTGGAATGGCTGTAGCTCAGGAAGTTGAACAGGGCATCTATTAATCAAATCCCTGGCTATTCCAGTCTGAAAGCTAAGTATTTTGGACCTTTTTTCAGGTTCAGTGCCCTAAATTGAACACAGAGAACCAGCTGCACCTTGTAATTTTTTAAATGTTTCAAACACTATTATTTCTCACATTTTGTTCATTCAACTAATAGTCCTAATAGAATGTAATATTTAAATTATAGTTATCCATTATACCCAGCTGCTTCCTTATGTTCCATCCTCTCAAAATCTTTCCAGAAATAGGCAAACAGTCTCATTGAACTAATATACGATGGAGCTAAAGGCGCCATATGAGCGCATAAATTGTTGACGTCAGTCAAGTTTTTTAGTCTTAAATTGTGATTAGCTTCACTGATGACCTATGATGCCTCTATGAAATTTGTTTACCAATATGACAAGAGGTCAAGACTAGAGTAGATTCAGCAGAGACCTTAATTCAAGTTCAAATTTTATTTGTCATATACACAATCATACATAATACAATATAAAGTGAAATGCTTGTTGCTGTGCAAAGCCTGACCTTAAAAAAACTAAACATACACATAAAAGTAAACAAAACTAAACTAGAAATGAAACTAAACTAACTAGAAATTTGCATAATATACAAATTTAAAATTCCAAAATTAACAGTAAAAAATTACAGTAAAATTGAAGGTAAAAAAAATATTTAAAAAAATAGAACATGCAAAAAAAGTAAATTTAAGAAAATATAAAAGTGTGCAAGTTGAGAGTGTGCAAATAAACAGTGTGCAGTGTAACAGTTTGAGGTGGAATAAACTGTTGCTGATGTATAGTAATGAGAGAGAGAGTCCAGTCCTACACCTGATTCAGGGACCGAATAGCCTGAGGGAAGAAGCTCCTCCTCATTCTCTCTGTTTGGCCTCCTCACTGTTGAGGTCTGGGAGGACTTCAGGCGAGCAGGTGGAACAGACAGAAGGGAAGCTGAAAACGAGTGGTGTGTATGAGGGGGTGAGCACGCATGGAGAAGATCAGATAAATATGGAGGAGCAAGGTTATGAAGTGTTTTGAAAGTAAGAAGCAGGATCTTGAAATTGATATGGAGGTGAACTGGAGCAGATGGTGATCTGTGAGTAAGTAGTTAAGCAAACCAGAGAGATAAGAGGTTAACCAGGTGAGTGGTATGTTACTGATGCCAAAAGATGTTAATCTATGAGGAAGGATGCAGTGACAGACAGTATCAAAAGCTGCTGTAAGGTGAAGGAGAAAGAGGATAGTGATGAGTCCAAAGTCAACTGCAAGCAAAACAATCATTTGTGGTTTTTACTAGAGCTATTTCTGTGCTATGAAATGAATGATCACCAAATAGAAACTGTTCATACAATTTATTTCTAGTGAAGTGTCTATGAACCTGTGCAGCTACTATATTTTTGTGAAGTTTGGCAAATTTGAGGAAAGGCAAATTTAAAATTGCTCTACAATTATTCAAATGGGCAGTGGATTGAGTTTACGCTATGATAACTTTTACTTACTAATAATAGAAGATATTTGAATTATTATAGGAAGTTCAAAACTGGATAGAGAAGATGACAGTTGAGTAGGAGAAAACATGCAAATAGAACAATTGACCACAAGAAGAGGGCAACTGTGAAGATTAACAATTTTGGTATTTAAAAAAGTCCATAAATTTGTTACAGACTGCAGCAGAGTGGGTATGTCTGGCAAAGGTATCTGGAGGTTTAACAATATTATGTAATATAGAAAACAAAGTACGAGTATTTTCATCAGTGCACTTAATAATAGAAGTGTTGTAAGATGATTTAGCATGATAAATAGCTTCTTCATAATGTTGTATATGACTGAGATAGATATCCTTAAGTCTTAAGAATAGTACGTCCATTTTTGCTGAAGACACATTCCAGGTGGCGGCCAACGGCTTTGAGTTGGTGAAGTTCAGATGAATATTAGGAGGCAGAACGGGAAAAGGAAGTTCTTCGACTTGAAAAATATGGTAGCTGTGCACGTTCATAGACACCTCGCTAGAAATAACTTCAGAATGGAGGAATGCAAGAGGTTTAGTCATCTGTGGAAGCTGAGGCATTTAAGGTTGGTAAATGACTAATGCAAACGCCTTACCTAGCAGACAATTTAA